GATTTGCCCCCTTTTCTACATTTTGGCAATGGTCTTTTGGTCTTTCTGGAGCGGTCTTGAAGTACGTATAAACTATAAATTTACAGAGGGAAGCATAGGATATTGCCAAATGTAATTAAAGTGGATTTAAAGTAAAAAACTTTACAGACTATCTTGATGAACTTATGAAAGCATTCTCCAGTACCAGAAAAGTAAAAATCCCATTAGTTCTGATACTTCATTATAAATATTAATTCACAACTCAAAGTGATAGCAAAGTGTGCATACTTCAGGACAAGGTGTTACGGGTTCCTAAAACCACCTTACAGACAGAAGCATAATCATGTTTCAGCGTGTTTCTTATCAGAAAGGCTTGCTCCAGAACTCAGAAATGTTCTACAAGCTTATATAGATCTTTTAAAAACACAGCTTCTTGACATACACTATTGCTTTGTTGCAAAAGCAGTTTTATTACAGTAGTCACTTCCATACTGACCGTTTGCTGGGCAGATCCAATTCTGATTCACTTTAGTGTGCCAAGATCAAAGCTGAAATGATTGATCAAGAAAAACATGATTTTCCTGAAATCAATGGAAGATTTCTATGAAATGGAGAGAAGTACAATGAATGCCAATGGAGGACAAGTAACTTCTTTATAATTCACTTTTATATTTTGTATCAAGATACGCTACATTTTCTGATTCAAATTGCAGGTCTGTTTATGCAAAGTGAATTTCTGCAGGTGCTTTTTACATGTTGAAATTAAAACTTCATACAGTGTGTCCATTATACGTACTATTTCCATTAGGACTTTTGGTTCAAAGAGCCTACTGTATAAAATTTTGTTTCTGGTCTTAATTACATGTTTAAGAGGTCTGTACATAGTACCTGCAAAACCACAGAGGGTTCACCAACCTATTTATGACGGTTGTTTTCCTTTTTTTTTTGCCCAGTGACCGCAGGACCCAGAAGCAAGCTGCTCTGCAGGGGCAAACACTATGAGAATGTGAACTGATGGCCCTGAAACAGGACAAAAGGGGGAGCACCACCTGGGAACAACCGTTACAAGTTGGCATGGTGGGATGTGCAAACATCAAAGCCATTCAACTTACCATAATCAACTAATTAGAAAGAGCTCAGGCCTGGACGAACACAGAAAAATATGGATATAGGCAAAGTGAGCAGATAGGCAAGGACAAAACTAAAAGTTATTTAATGTTAATGGAGTCTCTTTAAACTCCTGTACCTTTGGTCTAATTCCTACACCGTCAGATTTCCCCGATTCCCCCCTTAATCACAGGCTCAAGCAGCTTTGCAAGTGATGCTCCCCACATCACAGCCCCTCCACAGCCTTCGTTACCTGTGCTGTTCTTATATTTCGCTCTGGTCCAAGCATACAGTTCCTCCAGAGGCTGTGACGTGCACAGCAGTGCTTTGCGCTGTACAAAAACCTGGGTGGAAATGCAACGGCAACTTCCTTACCTAACTCCCCGTTCTTCAGCCTGGAAGCATGCCTGGGCATAATTGACAGACACGGTCCTGGCCGCATGAGCTTGTTCTAGATGTTTCCATTACACATACATTTTTTCCTATTCACTACCTTTTGATGTCTACCTGTGTTCATCAAAGTGTATGCTGAAGCTGATACCAGCGAAACGGGTTTTGTGGAATCTCTAGCTTTTTGCATCAATTTGGCCTGGTACAGTCTCCACAAATGCCTTATCTGTCACAACTGGAGACCTTGCTTGCTCCAGAAGTACCTAATTCTCAGAGCAGAGACAGAACGAAACCCCTTTCTGATAGATGGTTCAAAGTACAGAGCAGCAAGCTCTCTTCTCCATTCTGTTTGGTCCTTTTCCTTTCCATCTACTGGAGGCCATTACGTGCCTTACGAGGACAGTTCGTTTCTCTGTAGAGATGCATGTTTCAAATGCAATTCCATGACAATCACATTTTAGCTGCTAGTTCTCAACTGCTCATCAACTGGTGCTCTTCTCCCTCTCTAGCCGTTCACATGGTGTTGTTATGCCCTGTCAAAAACATCATTTTGATGGTTATATAAAAATACTCAAGAGTTTCAACAATGTCTAACACCCACGAAAAAGCAGCTCATGGCACATTTATTGTTGTCACATCATAACAGAAACTGTCCTGTCTTTTTTTTTTTAAAGCAAAAAATCATTGAAAAATGATTCTTCAGCCTTTCCTGTTCAGTCCTGCAGTAAAGGACAGGACAAATATAGGATGATACTAAAGATGAAACACCACCACATACCCTTAGAGTAATTATAAATCCATTTTTACATAACTTGCTATAAAAATTAAATGAAACTATGTAAACTTTAAGTCTCTACTACTAAGAAAAAGTCAGAAATATTTTTAAATAGCATCTACATTTTTTAAAAAATTGCTTTCTGTCAGCTAGATATGTGGCAGATGTGCAACAAAAGTTTCATAGATTGAACTAACAATGGAAGTTATCATTTGTGGCCTTTTATTGTTGAGAAAACATAACTTTATTTTGAAGAATTTACTGTATTTTTGAACAATTGATCTTTGAAAACTAAGAGGTAGCAACACAAAAGTTCTCTTCAGCAACATACTGCAAAATAAGTTTTACACATTCACTTTAGTATTCTTTGAAGTACAGACTTTCAAGGTATCTGCTTTCTTAAATGTGTTCACAGTACATCTATAAATTGTATAAATGGGTCAGCACACAAGTGTCTTCTGTCCAAATGACATCCCAAACTTGATAGTGTACACTTGTATGAAATAAAATGCTAGCTGTTCATTATTTCTGCTACTGTAAGTAATATGAATAGTTTTCAGTCCTTTTGTCCTAATGATAAAAAAGTGTGCCAACAATAAAAATCAGTTAAAAAAATCAGTTACCAAAAGTTAAGCCTCTTTTCTCTACAAAAGCCTTCTAGCAACATATGCTATCTGAGCATACTGAAAGCTAAAGCAGAGTTACACCTTCAGTATGCATTATACAATCCATGAAGCATTTAAATGCATAAGGCCATATCAAAGCAGTATATTCATTCTTCTATAAAACGACTAGATCTAGAGGAAAGGGAAAAGTGGAGTCAAGACAAATATACCTATGAATAAAATAAATAGACCTGACCAATTTATTCATTATACTCACAATTAAAAAATAGCATGCTCCTGAATAGACTACTGGACAATCTGCAGTAACTCTTTCCAGATTTTATATAAAGCTAAACAAATATCAATTCCAACCTTAACTTTTTAGCTTGAATTTGGTCTCACTTATGCAAGGTCTTTATCTGTTATCTGATCCATTATCAAATTTCTGTTGCTTATGTACATTCAAGACTATGATCAAGCCGTATCTGTTAAAGCGATTGCAGTCCTTTCACTGTAAGATGTATTTTCTAGTCTTTCATTCTTATGACTCTTTACCCCCTTTCTCCACTTTTTCTGATCTTTCTTGAATTGCTGACACTGAATTACATACACATCTAGATGTACCAGTACCAAACAGAAGGGAAACAGACTACGTTTTATACACACAGATTTTTTTTTTAAATACTCTCTGACCCACAAAACTTCTGTGATAGTTTTAATATTAGAAACATATATGTAGGTTTCCTATCCATGAAGCCTATTAAAATCCTTTTCATAGAGGCCTTTCCACAAGAGAGCTTCTTGCCCTCCTCTTCTCCGACCAGTCCTCTGAAGTCCAATTTTTTGTATGGATGTATTATTTTACACTTTGCTTATATGAAAAACTATGGCACAACAAACTATAGTGGAAGAAACTCAAGACCCTGATTTTGAAACTATGAAGAAGGTAAGCCATCAATACTTTGCCTTTTTATATATACAAAATGTGTATATACACACACGTGCATGTTGAGAAGTACACATTAGTATATATGTAAACATTACAGACAATTTGCTTTTTACATAATGGAAGAATGCTTTAGCAAATAGTAGAAACGGTAAGATTCCTGGTGTACTCTTCTCTAGTGTTACGGCTTCTAACTTTCATTACGTACTACAATCAAAACCCAATCTGGTTTCAGAAAGGTTTAGACTAGGATTTACCAGTTACCTGCTGTATTAAGTGGGCTGGGAATATCCTTTTCACAGTCCACGTAGGTCAGCTCCTCTGCAGCACTGCACTCCCTTTTGAAAACATTCATATATTAACTGAAAAGCCATCAACCAAGATACAAAACCAAAGCTAAAAACCCAAACTTTACTCTGAGTAAAGCCCCCGTGCTTCTTCCTCAACTTCTGAGCAGTGAACAGGTTGCCTAGGGAGGTTGTGGTGTCTCCATCCTTGGGAGATATTCAAAAGCCACAAGCCATCGGGATGCGGTCCTGTGCAGCCTGCTCTAGGCGGCCCTCCCTGAGCAGGGGGGTTAGACCAGATCATCTCCAGAGGTCCCTTCCAACCTCAACTATTCTGTGATTCTACACTGCTTATGTTTGTATAATTGATTTTTCCCAGCATCTAAAAAAAAAAATTGAGTTTAGCGATTAATAAATCAAGAAGCAATTTACTGCAATCATTCACACACAAAATCAAGTGTTTATTTACTATTTACAAGTATAAATACACAAATGCTACAAGGACTCTGTAATGTTCTTCATTATCATGGCACCTTAGATAACAATAACGTATTATGCAAGTAAGACGCCTTAGTTTCACTAGGCATCTGTGCAGTCACTGCCAAAGTTTAAGCAAAACAAATATGGCACATGTCATTAGTGATACTTTTCCATAGTTCTACAAAGCTTTAGTACTAGAAGTGACTGTACATTGGATTTTTATATTTTTGGTCAAACAGATACAAGGTTTTATTATCTTTATCAAAGGATGAGTAGTTTATTTGGTCACAAGTCATAAGGCCTTCTCAGTTCAGTATTTTATAGCATCAACAACTTCCGGCTTTGCAGACAACTTCCCCACCCCCACCCCTCCCGCCCCCAGTCAACTGGGGAGCCATTGCCAGCACATACTGTCGATGATCTGAATTCCATCATTTCAGTTGCAAGACAACCTTCAAAAAGGAGAAAAGGAATGAGATAAAAGTTGGATGAGACCAAAACTTAAGCAGTCTAGGAAATACAGCTTTTTGCCTTCTATTACAGTATAATATGCAAATGCGTAAACATGTCTTTCCTCTGGAAAATACACCATCCCTCTCTCCGCTGTCTTTTACAACCTCACACAACTACCGCTTCCGATAACCTTCTTTAGCATTTACTGCACACAAACCATTCCTCAGCTCCCTGCAATCAAAAAGTAGAACGGTAACTTCCAGGTCCAGTCAGATTCCTTCCACACAAAGCAGAACCAAGGGACTCTATGAGCTATAAAACTATTTTTGTCACTTGTTATATACTGACAAAAGATTTTTTTCTAAATGCTGGTGTTCAGATTCCAGCTATAGCATCATAACATTATATAAAACACCTAAAGAAACCCCTTACTTGCTAAATGTTATGATGCAACTAGGAACTGCTAACTTCTAAAACATGTTGATACAACACTTTCACATCCATCCTGCAAGATGTCAGAGAATTCAACCTCTCAGATAACAGACTTAATAAATATTATCCAGTCAGGCACTGGAACAGGCTGCCCAGGGAAGCTGTTGAGTCTTCATCCCTGGAGGCATTAAAAGGCGGGTAGATGTGGTGCTTAGGGACATGGTTTAGTGGTGGACTCAGCAGCACTAGGTTAGCGGTTGGACTTGATGATCTTAAAAGGTCTTTTCCAACCTAAACGATTCTGTGATTCTTCCCCTAACAATTTTTCTTCAAATCCTCACTTCCCTTAGCCTTTTCTATTAAGAAATCTGAAACACTCCAAACAAAGTTTCGCTTAAAATTTTCTTCTTGGGTTACTGTATTGGAATGTTTGTAACTTTCTTCCTGATTGTTTGTAACTTCCTTCCTGATTTACTATGCCATGGAAATTAAAGCATTCCATCTGAACCAAACAGCTCTCCCATGTGCATTCCCAGCCACTGATATTTTGTGAAGCTGGGAGAACACTGGAGTTCTCTCCAATCTTTCAAAATCAACTCTCATCTGACACTTTGTCATTTCATTTCCTTCTCCTCCTGTTCTCACAAGACTTTTTAATGGTGCTCTGAACAGACTATGACACTTATCAGGATTCTAATTACATTTTTAAAGAATTCTAGACTAAACTGTGATAAAAAACACTCTGAAGTATATCCATGATAGCCTGCCTTATGTAAGGCTTTCTGTAACTCTATAGTCATTTTGCCAATGAATTACTTACTTTGGGTTTTCAGCAAGATACCCAGAACAAAAAATTTCAGTCAAAATAAACTCAGTACATGAGAAGTCAGAAACAAAGGATGATATCCATAAAAACTACCTTATTAGCGGCTTCCAGTGCATTTATTAGGTTCTGCAACTCTTCCTTATTCATCTCTATAGAAATTGGTTTAATTTCACCATTTTCTCTCACATCCAAATCAAGATTGAGAAGCGGCATTTGCAGCATGGAGATCTTATCACTGGAGAGAGCAAGCTATGCAGATTGATGAAACAACAACAACAAAGTGTAAGGTGGAGCCAGGTTTTAGTGTTTCATAGCATCACATCTGCACTTCATATTGAATGTGTACTACCAGAACAAACATCAGCATGACAAAACTATACTCTCACAAGTCATCTCTGCAGTTTTTGGTTTTGCTTTTTACACTCCTCCCCCCCCCCCCCCCCGCCCCCCGTTGTTGGGATTTTTGCTTGTTTGTTAATACCAACAATACACTGAAATACTAAAACCCCGCTTCATAGCAATACATTTGTCAAAACAATTTGTTAAAATTACTGGGCTGACACATTTTTGTATTCTAGGTGAAAAGAAAGGATACATTTGACCATGACTCTCTAAAAGTGAAGTATATGAATTCTGAACTCACTGTATTCAAACAGTTCTGGTACTCAACACGTAAAAAGGGTCTTATAGAAGCAGGCAGTTGGGAGAAAGAGGACGCCTTTGTGCATTTTTCAACTCTCTCTACAGCTGATCAAACACTGTTTGTCAGATATCCTATTTGACAATCGCTGATGAAGAGGATTACATACCAATTGTGCTTTCTTTTTTGTTTACTATTATACTCACTCTAGTATAAATAAGGTTTTTAAAATATATTAAAATCAAAGATCAGTTGATAATACTGTAGGTCAGTACTGTACACACCTATCTTGTTTATTTAGAGAGCAGAATGTGGTACAGCAGAGGAAAGACAATGTCCTTGGTAGGGTTCAACTATGGTAAGCAAAAAAAAAAAAAATCACAACTAGCTCAAGGAAAAAAAAACACACCTGGTTTAAAGCAAAATGAATACAATAGTAAAAGAAATTAACAAAATCCTCCAGAAGAAAAAGTTAAAACAAACCACAAGCAAAAAAACAAGAGTTCACATAAGTCTAGTTTATATTTTTGTCACCAAAGGCAGTTAGCAAGAGACCAAGCCCTAGTAATAGTTCATCTGAAGCACATTATGATGCCACATTTGCTTGTGCAAAATCTTGTCTATTGTGGGCATTGCTCTTTGATTTCCAAAGCTGTTTGCTGCACAAATTATTTAACACTTGTTGAGATGGAAAACTATTTAACAGCTCCACAAATCTGTTTAACAGCTCCCATGGACTAACTAAACAACATTATTACTTATACTGTTTATATTTTAAGTGCTTGTTAGAGCTTAATTTAAAGCAGCTGTCTTCGTAACCCCAAAGCACCATCCAGCTTTAGGAAACACAGTTATCATTGGCTTATTATCAAAATAAGTCTAAAGATAAATGATTTCAAACTAATTATTAAATAAGTGTTTATTGCAGGAATCTAAGAATTTGAAAAAAGTCAGGGAAACACATCCTGAATCGATGTACTACTCTTAAAATTAATTAAATATTTCTTCTTCCTTTGATTAAAAATACAGTCTATTCAAGCCTCAAAATCATAACAGCGTATGAAACTTTCAGGCGTTCCTGAATAACACTCAATTTCCTTCTAGGAAAGAGATAGGTATTGCAGCTTTTGAAGGGGGGGGGAGAGGGGGGCGCAAATAAGAGTTTTACTTTTACAGTTTATACAAATTTCTGGCAAGTCTTTGATGTGTTATCATGAATGTGCTTTCCTGATACCTATAAGAATTGAACCATGCTCCAGAATGAGCAGGCCAAAGGGGACTATATCAATAGTCACTTCTGTGTTCTGGAACACTTCTTTCAAACATTATGGCAACACTCTCACCTTTAACTGCCAGTCAAAATCCTGCAGCTGGGCAGAAGAGATTGCATTCACATTTTCCACCAGTGCATTCCTGATTTCTTCCTTTCTGCCTTTTAGACATTTTGTGATTGCTTCTTGATAGTTTGAATTTAACTCATTTATCTGCTGGGCAGCCTACAAAAATAAAAATCGTGAGTGGTTAAAGTATGAACCACAGAAATAACATGTACCACATATAATAGCTGTGCTCTGCAGATATGCAAGCTTCTATCCAGATAGCTGTTATACTAGACTCCGTAGTTTCCTCTTTCTTATACTGCCCTCAGTGGCTGCTGTGTTTGATAGTTCGTCAGTATTTACCACAGCAACGTATTAAAAAAAAAAAAAAAAATCTTGTAATTTAGATTGAAAGAGGCCAGAGAAAGGAGGCTTTATTGGCCTTCTTAGATGCCACCCTGAAATCAAAACAAAAGTCACACACACAAACAACACAGGTTTAGTTTCTGAACATCAGAGTAGAGACAAAACACATCAACTTAACTGAAACAAACATATTGATGTTCAGACTTTCCTATGCCTACACAAATATCTTTCATTGATCTAGCTACTAGCAGGTAGTCAAAATACAAGCAATGGGCAAAAGGTGAGAATTAAGATTTCTGATAATGGAACAAGTTTTTGCAAAGTTTATACACATTGGAATGCCCTGAATTATAGTCCCCGTCCCACATCATCCTCCATTCAGTCTTGGGGTTTTTTTTGGCTTTACATACAGTTAATATTTTAAAACATTTCAATGCAGTAGTAATGAGCAAAGAAAGCCAAACAAGTGTGTGAATTGTTTTTATTGCTAATGAACAGTAATGACAGGTTAAGTATTTTAAGGAAAACAGATTTAATTTGCTGGTACTTAAGATACCAATTTAAGTGACTAAAACAGTACTTTAACAAGTATTATGCAGTTCCATTGAAAAAAAAAATTAGTGTCCAATTCCACTTTTTCTTTTAAAAGCCTTCACAGTGTATGTCTAAACGCTGCTAGCCTTCTACCTATTTAGGCTTAGTCTGCTGCTATTCAAATGCTACACTATAAAAATACTTTAGTACTAAATAAACTACAAGACCACTCACTCCAGCATGACCTCTCAAAGACAAGCCCAATCAGCGATGAGCCCTTACCTCTTCATCAGATATGTTTTTGCCAACCGCAGTTTTGAAATACATCGTTGTTTCTTCTAAAACCTCCATCCACTCTGACAAGCTCCAAATACTGCCATAATCCTGGTATCGAGGATACGCACGGCCACATATGCCATCAACTATTTTATGAAGGAACTGAAACAATGTGACACATAACTTAAGAACATGATTCTATCACAGTTAACCTACGCCAGATACGAGACTGATCAGGCAATTCAGTTATCGCCCCTCCCTTCACTGGGTACTGTCTCAGTACTCCATCCGAGTGCAGCCCATGCACCATTCTAAAAAGTCATAAAGAGGTAGCCTGTGCATATGAACTGTCCTCCCCTCTCCCCCAAAGTCAATTCACAAGGTTCGGCCACGGAAATCACAATGTCATTGATTCACCTTAGACTTACATTTGGACTTAATAGTTTTGTGCACGACTATAGTGTACAGGTGAGCAGCAGAGCTGCCACACCAAAGGGCACCCAGTCATCTCTGCACTGGGACAGTCAGGATGCAAAGCACAGCTCAAAAGCGCTGATCTCCAGGCCTGTGGATCTCTCTAGTCTCCCAAACCACTGTCCCCTAGCACTGAGGTTCTTCTATACCCCTGGCTTCCTGTAGTCATTTTTTTTGAGCACCGTAGCGAGGCAAACCCAGCCAGTCCACTACTTCACCGACTGGAAATCGATGGCGCCTCCCTGGGAGCAGCCGCCAGGGCCGCAGGCCGCCCCCTCAGCACCGGCTTACAGCGCCGAGCCCCCGCAGAGCGGAAGACTTGCGCTGGGAAGGGCTCAAGGACGCTTCCCATATTCTAACAGCAAAGCGAGCGCAGGAACACCCGCCGGGTGCACCCCCAGCGTATTTTGAGCCGGTACTTTAGGTTTCGCTTTGGAGAGGCCCAGAGAGGCCGGTGAGGGAGGGCAGCGCGGCGCACAGCCCCGAGAGGCCGGTGAGGGGAGCAGCACCGCTCTGCAGCCCGGGGGGCCGGCGAACGACGGGCTCGGCCTCCC